CTACAGTAAGACTGTTAGACTTCGATGACATTGACAGGGTCCATGGCCAGCCTTTCACTTTAATTTGGATAATTTTTCTTAACATATTTGCAATCTAAAGTATAACATATTTTTAAAATATCCTTTACTGAAACAATAAACTCTGTGTTAGATTTAACACTTAACTAAAAAGTTAACTAAACTTAAAAGTTAACTTAACTTTTTTGGCTAAGAAAATAGTACAGTGAGAGTTAAACATAAAAACTTGAGGGAAAATAAACCAGAAAAATATCTACAGAAAAGGCGGGGAATGGAAAGAAACTGGCAGGATATTGCACCAAAGTAAAGTGGAAGTAAAGATAGTGAAGAGCCTTGTGTAATATAATAAACATTTGAGTGTATGTTAACAAGCTCCTGGAGTGTGTTAAAGAGCAGAGTGTCATGGTCGATTTCATTTTAAAAAATTAACCTGCCTGCCATTCAGAGTGTTTTTCAGCTGGCCAAGAGCAAGGATAAAGAAACAAGGAAGAAGGCAGCAGATCAGGGGATATAGAATGATAGACTGAACTAGGTCGAGCCAGAGAAATGTGGTCAGCTAGGAAATATGCTTAAGAGATGGAGATGAATTCATTACCAAGAACCTTGTTAATGGTGAAAGCTACTGTGAGGAGCAGAGGTGGAGTCAGTTACCAAGGGGCCCTGTACAATGCAGACATTTCCATGGCTTTATTCCTATCTGTACATGGTACATGTTATAAAGAGTTTGTAATACAAGAAAAGCTGTATTCTTAATGAAATATAGGAGATTACAAATAAATTTTGCCGATGCATTTGAAAATTTCAGTTTTAATTTAGATTTGGGAAATTATAAAATATCATTTTTTTGTCTAGGACTATGGAGCTTCATTGACTAAAAAGCTTGGAGGAAATAGAAAATGTAATTTAAAATTTACCACCTACAGTGTCTTTAGTGCAAAGATCTAGGATGTATTATCTGATAGCTTTCCTGCTCCATAGTGCAGATAGCAATGAGAAGGCAGCTAACACATCTCATGAAAATCAACTCAAGATTAAACCTTCAATTAATAATGCTAATCAAAGCTACTGGCCATGATTTTTGTGTCCCTGTGTTTCACTGACCATTTTAATTTTCTTTATTTTAAAATTTAAATTTTAAACTTTTATTTATTTATATTATTTATGTATTGAATACTAATACTTGTTTTGGTGCTGGGCCTGAACTCAGGGCCTTGCTCATGCCAGGCAAACCTTCTACCATTGAATTACCTCTGCTCCATCCTTGACCATTGTATATTTTACATTGTCAATTTTCATTGCTTTTTCCTTTTCATCCCTGTAAAGTTGGGGTTGGGGATCTCTGGACAGGACAGTATTTTTTGTAATCATTGCTGTTCCATCATCCTTCTCCCCTTTACCTTTTCTCTCCACTTCCTGCAGTGGGTGAGGTGATAACCCTTCTAAAAATAAGACACATCCACCTGGAAAGTTTAAATCCGAGCTGAGAACATCTTCGAGTTGCCTTGTTTAAAATTTCATGGTGAGCAACCCCCTACCTCCACTTCCTTCTGCCTGTTTGTCTAATTCCCCTCATCTCTACCCTCTTTTCTTGGTTCCTTTATTACTGCACAAAAATTCATACTTCATCCATTCTACTCCTTCCCATCCTCAAACACATTTTTAAAACTAGATCTATATTAACTATTATCAAATATGATTTCTTTTTCTTTGTTGCTACTATGGTACCATTATTGTCTGAAATCCCCATTTGGCATTGATCAGCCATGCTCCCAGAAATGCAATCATTGTTCAAAGAAATATCTCAACTCTTCCAATCTATAATTTCTGTCTAGAAAATGTACCCTACCGTGGCAATTAATTTTGTTTTCTTCTAACCAGCTGGAGCCCACTGCTTCTGTCAAGCGCTTTGAATTTTTACATGCAGTCATTTTTCCTGAAGTGCTGATTGATCACAATAAAGAATAAGCTCTAACATCTTCACAGCTATTTACACCAATCCTTTTCTCCTGCCCAAAAAGTTCACATAATGCATCTCCTTTATTTTCATATGTAAACTACTTCCTGGTCTTTCCTAGTACTTCCCTGAGCCACACACCCTCTTTTCCACAGCTGGCCTCCTATGTGTGGCCCCTCCTCTCTCCCAGTACCACTTTGGTGGCTCCTGCTGTATTTCACTCCATCTGGGGTTCCAGCACTGAGGCAAGGTAGGCCTCAGATTCAGAATTAACTGAGTGGAGCTCTGAATTGGCATTTTTTAAAATTGCCTACGGAACTTTGGCGAGCAGCCCAGGATCCATGCTCTAAGCTAGCTTGCTCTTAATAGAGTTTCCTGAGAGGAAACTCTTCAAATACTAGTTGCACGGTATCATCTTACCAGATGTATTAAATCCAAATTTCAGAGCTCAACATTTGAGATCTCCCTGTTTTCCTACCTTGGTTCCTGCTTTTCTGCCAAGCTCTTATAATCTTTGTCTAAAGAGAAATTACCAACTCCCCCCCACACACACACACACATCCTTGCATGTACACATGTAGGTCACATAATCTGGCAAAGGATTTTTGTGGTATATTTACAGTTAGGAGTCTGTGAGATGCTAAGTTTTCATACTGAAAGTTTTCATTCATTCTGAAATGTCAGAACTTGGAAATGCTTGAGTTTATAGAAACAATGGGATAGAATATTTTGAATGAAGTCAGTCTCCTCCTCTCTCGCTAGAGTATTTTCTTCTTCATTAGCTTGACCCTATTTTTTTCAGAGACTTTAAGTCTACAGTAAGAAGCCCAAGGTCATATGGAAGAGATCCTGAAAGAACACACTGAGCCCAGCTGACGTGAAGGAACATGTGTCCTTGACCCAGAGGCCAGAAGAGCCTGGCTATGCCTCTGAGGATGTGCACCCACTACAGTCCCAATCTGTGCCCGGTCGCAACACTGCTGCCTGCAGCGCTGGAACCAAGTGTGTCCTGAGCTCTGAGGAAACCTGGGCCTTTTCTTATGAAATGTTCCTTCTTCTACACCTCCCCCCAAAAAGGAGATATTTTAAATTCTCACATGAATGAAAATCAAAACTGAAAGAAAAGATTAGCATTTGAGAGTTCTGGAAAATATGACTACCACAAAGTGGAACTAGGAAATGTTTTTACAAGAGCTCAGAAGTGGAAGTTTCTTCTAAGGGAAATCCATCAATTAAACCACAACACAGATTCTATCAGGCTCAGAACGTCGCAAACACTTGATGTTGTTACTGTTTCTCTTCTGCTTTAGATATTTAGGAAACAACAGTAAGGGGAACTCTACAATTGTGGCCCTGCCTAACGCTTACCTCCTTTGCAATATTATTTTACACATTTTGGGCACACTTTTAATTTCAACTAAATGTGTTGGTCTATTAGCCCTTTCTTCCTTGTCAACTAGAGAGGATGATGTTATTATTCCTGAGTTAACACTCCAAGTTATACACACAGACTGGAGTTTTTAACAAACCCTGGACTAAGAGTCCCAAGAACTGGCTTCCAGTCCTTACTCTGGATCTATCATTATGTTTGCATCCATGATTCATAGTAGTATTGTGAGCACGATTGTAAACACAGGTCAGTTTGTGACTCAGTCAGAGCCACAGTAGGTGCTAAGTGTGAATTAAGGTAGCTGACTCATTCTGGCTTGCCCGGGACTTTTCTCAGAAAGTCCTGCTTCTCAGGAATCAGATCAGTATCTAGCAAGTGGAAACAGCTGGCTACCATAGGGGTGGCCTGGGGGCACCTGATCCAGGGCTCAGGACTGCAGCCCCACACACTGTCCCCTCAGCAGGGAACTGCAGCTCTGTGACTAGACTGCACAGCCAACTGCTCCCTAAAGAGAACTTCTGAGATCAGTAAGTGGTTCTTATCTTCATTTAAATTCCTACAGTAATACCTCAAACGTTAAAAAAAAAAAAAAAAAATCACAGGAGCAGCTAGTTAGCAAAGTTCAATGAATTCCAGATCGTTCGTTGATCATAAATAAGTGGTTGGATTAGGCTGGGAGTTTTCTAATAAATAATTATGATGACTGCAAAAATCATCTCCCTAGCTTTTTAACTAAATGGCCTTGGCCCTTATTTATAAAGTGGTTGGAAAAAGATGCCAAGGGTCCTAAGGACCAGTTCTGCATTTGCAGCTAATAGGACTTTGGGCATGCCATTCTTTCTGGACTTCAAGTAGCCCAAATATGCAGAAGGGCACAAGAATGGATTTAGTTGGTTTCCAAGAACTCTTGCAGTTTAGTATTGTATATCTCAGAGCACATTTAATTAAAAAATATATAGCAATGATAAGAACTAGCTGGTAAAACAACTGCATAACAGGTTTTACTCTGAGTAGAATTAAGAATTTAGTAGTAGTCTTTGTTTTCAAAGTTTCCTTCCTCTTCTTAGAAATTTCTGATACCGTCTAATCCTTTTCAGCAGCTCTAGAAAGACCGAAGTTCCCTGCTGTTCTCTTTTTCTTCCACCAACAAGTTAAGACAAATTTTTGTATCAAGATGTCAAAAGCAGGGACTTAGTCCTTACTAAGGAGTAAGCTCTCCCAGAATTTATGTTCCAAACATGTATCTAATCCAAAAGATTGGATCTATAATGGGGAATTCCATCTCTTTCTTGTTCAAGGAAACCATACATCATGTGGGAGAATGTACCTGGAAGCACCACACTACCATTCTTGAGGCTATTTGTCTGTACAACTTATCTTTAAACAGTCTTTTCCTTGATAACTAACAATTTTCTACTAATTTTTCTGGCTTCAAAGCATTGTATTTGAACAGTCTTCAGCTAGAGCTATCACATCTCTTTCTCTTTTTTTTGGCAGTTACACCCTGTTATTTATAGCATGTTCCTTAGATTAACAATATGGTATATACATTACATGTCTCTAAATGGCTACATAAATTGAAAAAAAAAAAAACCCAAAATCTCAAGACACCTACCTGTTCCAAGGGCCTATGCTTACCAGAGGATTTGGAAGAAGAAAGCCATACTCTTCAGAAATGTGGTATCTTCCTAAACACAATGGCAGTGTTGTCTTCAAATTCTGTCTTTGAGGCTCCATAATTTTGTTCCTGATACCTGCACAGAAGCTGCCACTGCAGAAGCAACTGATCCAAATAATCAAAGACCCAGGGGAAGGGAGCTTCAAAACTGAATCCACTGGTTGTCTTTAGTAGTATGGTGGAACTTTGTCCTGAGGTTGAATTCCAGCCTGTCAGGACCTTGCTCTGAGACAAAGTTGAGCAAACAATTAAAGACTACTGGTTGAAACAAACAGGCAAACAAACCAACTCCAAGAAAATCCCTCCTTTCCTTTCATGTACATGCAAAAGAGAAAATTGCTTTTAAACCCAGAGACAAATATGTTCACATTTGAGAATGGGGAAGTGAGCTAGACTTTTATTTATGGCTGATCAAATCCTTCACTGACATGATGCTGATTCATGATGAATGTTGACAATGGGGTCAAAATTACTGCAAAATGAGCAAACTATTAAAAGTAGAAGTTGCATTCAGATAGTTGTTTCTGATCAGTGAGAAGTACAGTGGAGAGAAGAATTCAAATAGTATATATCAGAACCTTACAACAGTTTTTTTTTAGTTTGAAAAATATAATCTAAATTATGGTTGTTTCAGCTTATTTTAAGAAATGCTGCTTAATAAATTTGAGAAATCTTTGATTGCTTAATGGAGTTTTTTTTTAATTTAACAAATGAGGTCATGGATATCAATGGACTTGAAAAGAACCTAAACAGATCATTTCATTCAACCCTCCAGATTTTCAAAAATAACTTTTTATATTTAATTGACACAGTAAATTGTACTCAAACTTCTCCTTTTCTCAAAAAACTTTTGAGAACCTACCATCAGAATGGATATTCTCACTTATGAATTAGGTACTACCAGTTTCATTTTACAGATTAGTAAACTGAGGCAGTGCACATGACACACCCAGTCCAGCATTACTCTGAGTGTTAACAGAATGAGGACTGGGACTTAGGGTGTGATTTCCAAGTCGTTGCTCTGTTCTCCAAACAGGTTAATGTGGGAGCCCAGCACAATGGCTTCCAGGGCAGCAGTCTGCACTGGATGGTCTGAATGCCCTCCCTTTTTCTCGGTGGACTTTGAACATAAGTCATAATGCTGTGAACAAATTTATTTGGAAGCAGTTTATTCAACCACATTTGTCCTTCCCCTTTTTTGTAAAATGGAAAAAGCTAAGAGTAGGAAGTACTATGATTACTCATCCATTTGTACCCAGGGGCGTTTTTCTTCTGAAGGACATCTGTCAAAAGCAGCCTTACATGTTTACCACTCATCATAAGCTATCTGAGATATTCTCAATTACCCACTGACCCTCAGCTCGACATCCAACTAACCTCTGATTTCAGTTTCTTATGCCACTAAGTTCAGTTTCTCAAGCTCAGTATGGTAGCCATCCTCTTGGTCTCCTTTCATTTCATACGAAGAGATGGCCTAGCTATGCTTTTGTGGGAGCTTGTTATTTGTCAGACATTCTTTCTGCATCCTCTCAAGAATTTACTGTAACATTAAAGAACCATAAAAACCATAAAATATTAGAACCAAAACATTATAAATAAAATCATACATACCTAAATAAAAATCATAAAGTACTAGAACTGGACATTATAAGTAAATGATATAGGTCAACACCCTCATGACTCAGATGGAACCCAAGAGCTACGGTATAGGGAACAGGGAAGGGGACATTGCCAGAACCCCCACAGTGGGTCCTGGCCTCCTGTGAGCCACCATAGCACAAGGTTAATTAAATAATTAGGTTAATAAAAAGGTTAATATAAACAGTAAACAAGATAGAATCTAGGTCCTGGGACCTGATCAGTGCTACTGATGCATCAAGACAAAGCCCCCAAGTGCATCCAGTATTTATTGAATACAATCATGGGAAGGAATAGGGAGCAGAGAAGACATCTAGTGAAACACTGCCAATGCTAGGCAGGGCTGTTAGGGAGTAAGCACTGCTTATCTTGCTTGGATAGAACAAACTGGTACTGGGACAGGGTGCAATTAACAAGCAATCCATTGGGTCAGTGAGAAGTCATAATTCAGGGGAAAGGATTTTAATTGGGATCATGCTGACCTCAGATGCATGTAACTCTGCAGAGCTCTGCCACTTCACAGACCAGGACTTAGGCCTCAGTGACAGCCATTAGGAAAGGAGCAATACTAGCCCAACTCTGCTACCTGAAGTGGCCATTTGAGTCCTATAGGGCTTTGGTCTGATTCCTGATATAAAGCAACACAGCCAAATTAGGGAAAGCAAGAAGCATGTGCCACTCATAGCCTGCTAGTACTGGGCAGGGATGTCTGCTACACTATGGTAATGAATCAAACCATAGAAAGTTATTCTGGGAGCTGGTGTCAGAATTGGACCACATTCCTGACTTGCTGCTTCTTGGTGCAGGAGTTTCCCACTGGTAACTCTGGAAGAATGACCTAAGATTATGTCTCTGCTCTATTATCTGTCATCTCTATTGCCTGTTGATGAGTAGCTTAAAATTATAAACCTTTATTTTCACACCTGCAGGAAACAATAGACATTATCTGATGAATAAGTGAAAAACTATAAAAGAAGCACTTAACATAACAGTGTTTTCTCATAATTTTCTCCTTTCCCACTCATTCTGGAATCTCTTCTTAATATTGTGTGTTTTCTCTTTTCTTTTCCATTGTACTATTATCTTTTCTGTTTCAGTCACTGACTCCTTTTTCCATTTCAGCATTGGATATATTCACAGTGTTTTCATAGCTTTCTCTTCTTCAGTGTTCTTTTTTATTTTTCTTACACTCTAAGAATTGAACCCAGGGCCTCCCGCTGAGCCACATACACATACACACTCTCTTTTTTTTCACTCAGGTTCTTGCTAAATCACTAAATTGCCCAGGCTGGGGTTGAACTTGCAATCCGCCTGCCTCAGCCTCCCAAAGTGCTGGGATTACAAGTGTGTGTCACCACTTCATATGCATTTCCATCTAATCTTTACCATCAATTCTATCCCAAGTCTCTGCATTAGATCCTAATCTTTCTTACTCCCACCATCTAGACCTATGTTACTTGTAGGCCTGTGAATATTTCAGTTCCTACCACAAAAATTTTCAAGAGCTCTTCATTGATGATGAAACAATGTTCAAATTTTCTTGAACTGGCATGAAACTATGCCCATGATCTGACTCTTATGCACCTTTCTAGCTGTACATAAAACTGTGGTCAAGCCCTCAAAAAATTATTTGCTGCTCCTGAAGTAAAGTGCGTGTCTTACTTTGTCTCTTTATTCATAGTATGTTCTATACCCAAAGTACTTTCTATCTGAACTTGACTCATTTTTTAAAGATGCATCTGAAGTGCTAATACACACTTACATGGACTCCTTTTCAGAACTCTTCTCTGGTTGAAGGATAATACAACCAGAGAGATCTTTTCACATCCAATTTTAAGTTTGAGTTGATATGATTATTACTAACATATTCACTTTGTCTTTCCTATTAGACTGTAAGCGTCTTGTCTTAGTTACTTTTTCTCATTACTGAGACAAAATACCCAACACTCAAAGGTAAAGGAGGAAAGGGTTATTTTGGCTCACAGTTTGTAGAGGTTTCAATCCATAATCAAATGGCTCCAAGTCAGGGTGGCATGGCAGAGGGTCATAGCAGAAGACGTGCAGCAGCAGCAGCAGCAGCAGCAATAAGCAACAAGTGACAAGTAAGGAACCTATCCAAAACATCCAGGCTACTCACCCTTAAAACAGCTAGCACTCACACCTTTAATCCTAGCATCATATGCTTGATCCCAGCATCACATATGCTAGACCCAGCCACCTGCAAAAGGCCTCATTTATGACTGCATGAAGTTTTGAGAGGATATCTAGATACAAGCCACAACACCCCCTTAAGGTAAAATCATAGCTAACAGCTTTGTATTTTTTATAGCAGTGAGGCCAGTGTCTGGGACTCCATTAATGTTTGGGAGTTTCATTACGGACCTCATATTTTTAGAACAAGGTACTTGAGGTCATGTAGGGTCATGTAGAATTTCATACTGGTTTATACTGTACCATTTTAGAGCTTGCTCCACAAACATACCCTTTAGTAAGGAACATAGAACCCCACTCAGGATGACATTCTCCCTTCATTCTTATTTACCAAGAGGAAGTCGGTTGACTTAATTGTTGTCAGAAATTTCCTCTCCTAACAGTAGGACTGGGAGTTTTAGAATCCTAAGTTCTAAGTTTTCCAAGAAGACACAGGACTACACAACAGGGGTTTCATTTCTTTTAGGCTAAGCATTTGAGACTTTGGGAAGTGGAATTAAAAAAAAAACACCTAGAAAATGAAGAAAATATTTTTACTATTGAAATTGTGGGGCCATCAATTATGTTCACTGATAACAACATTAGATATGCTTAGTTTCAGTTTCTAAATTGATAAAGCACAAAATCTAAATGGTCAAACACCCCACACTACAGGCACACTGAAATTGTTCTTCTCCAGCTCATTATTACTTCTTTGTTCTCAAATTCAAGGGGGACTTTCCAGTCCTTTCCTTGTTTCACTGTGTGGCCATCTGACATTGCTACTGGCTTTAAAAAAAAAAAAATCTCTTCCCTTCTTCACATCTTCCATGACACCTATTCCTTCTGATTGTACCTCTTCCATAGAATATTTCACTTTACTCTCCCAAAAGCCTTGTGAGTTAGGTGTTATTATTATTCTAATAATTCAATTGAAGACATCACAGCTCAGAAAAATTACATTAGAGCTAAATATACTTCGTGCAAGTGACAAAACCAGGACTGAAGTACAGACAATCTGATTTAAAGCCATCACTTCCAGCCACTAGAAGCATGGCTTCCTTTCTTGGGTTTTTTTCAACTTTTTTTCTGGTTCTAGCTGACTATTGCTTACCTCCACAGTTTAGGCCTGATTTCCTCCTCTTCTCACTCTCTTGTCTCTGGGTGACTCATCCATTCAGAGACTGCAGCTACCTTCTCCAGGAGGACACCTCCTTTTTCCAGCTGGTTGTCTTCAGATCTCTAGACCCAGACAGCCCCGCATACACTAGATACACCTACTTGGATTAGAAGTTTCACTGAAATATCTTCACTCATCAAACTTTTTTATATATCTTTCATTAATACAGCTGCAAAAACTTAAAATTCACAGCCCTTAACTGAAGGCCTTGAGCAGGGAGTCCACTGCCTAGTGATACAACTAAGCTGAATTTATTACTTACTGTCTTCTAAGAACAAAACACATTTTCCTTTTGTAGTTCATAATTACTAAATGATGTCTCTCAGAACCAGCAACATAGTTTGGGGGACTTGATAATGTATGAAGATGTAAATTCCTTTGCTCAAAATTATTGAGAATTTTAGAACCAAGATATATCATGTAAAGGTACAAGTACCAATGATAAATGTAAATGTATTGCATACCTAAAATGTACCAATAAAAGAATCTAAGGAAAAAAAAGAATTTTAAGTTGCTGACAGAAGAGCATGAAGCAAAGCATAGGGG